GCTGCCCCCTCCACACATGAGACTCTCGCCACGCCGATGCTGTATACCCTCCAGGGCCTCATACCAGACTTTCTTCCAGGTTGCATCCCTCCAGTCTGGGTCATGCTCCTCCTCATATAGTAATGCTGTCTGGGAACAAGCTCGTTCCATACTGCTGTAGCCAGTAACGTTGCCCTCAATTATAATCCATATGATACCGTGTCTCCAGGATGCTCTTTCTCGCAATAGGAAGCAATCCCACCTCTGCCACAAGATGTGACGGACTGCCTGGCACCCCGACTGTGTGCCTCTGCCAATCATTGCTTCCTAGCTGTCGAGTACCATAAGCGCCGCACCAAACACCATAAGCACCATAGCCCCTGTTATGGACATAATATTAGCTTACTAGAATGCCTATTTACTCAGCATAACTGTACTCAGTATTATTCATTGTTTACTGTTTTAACCTGGCTGCTAGAAGCTCCCCCTAACAGCCCCTCCCCTCCTGTGTTCCTTAACTGCTCAGAAAAGGCTGCTAGAAACTCCCACTCCCATTGAATAACCAAGATGGTGCTGGAATCTGGAGGTGCATTTCATGATAACACTGACATCACACCCTGTAGGATGTACAATAGATGAACCAATTATTTTTTTCCCTCTGTTATCTATAATTATGCATATGATGTATTCTCTCTTTATAAGAGGCACGCCGGCCCCCCGATTAAACATTCCTCAAGTTCTTCATTAACCTGAAACTTGTGTCGAGTGTGAATTACTTCAGGAGCGTGCACGCATACACTTAATAATTTGGACAGGCGCAGATTTTTCAAATAATCAAACCTTTGATTTGATCCACAACACCCCTTAGCTGCCGCAGCTTGGCTGGGGTCTAGCCGTCCCTTCTTACCCTGGACCAAACTCCTGGATGCAGCTCCCAGTGAGAACTCTCCTCCAAGAGAATATAGCAGGTATAGCAGTGTAGCTCTTACAAGAGCTAGTGATTATAGCAATTCAAAGAACAATCTCAGGAGCAGGGATTATAGCTGGTATAGCTTTCCCTTACAAGCAAGAGACGAGGCTCTGTGGTGAGGGTAAACTGGAACTCGTTTATTGGTAGCCACTACTGGCCTTATATACATGTCCCCATGCAAGGGGCTATCCCCCCTGGAGCTGAGAGTAGACTAAAATAAAAACATACACCCAATTACATTGGCTCTCAAGTCCAGGACACTCCCATACGAAACAAGATCCATCCTCTGTGCCTGGAAGATAATTGAGTCAAGCACTGTATTAAACTCAATTATCTCCAAGAACACGTGGCAGGGGCATTTCTGCCACAATGTCGTCTAATCTTGAGCATTCCCAACAAATATGGAAATTAGATCCTTTGGCTTTCATGCATCTCCAGCATTGATCAGTTTGGTCACTGTAAATTGTATAAAAATTTTCTGGAACCAAGTACCACCTGTATAGAATTTTATAAAAGATCTCTACCAATGTGACACAGTTGGTACTCTTAATCTCTTTATGCCTGGTTTGCAGGATGTTGTTTCAAATCTCATCTTTCTTAAAGGACCACTATAGTGCCAAACTTGTTTTCCCGGCAGTATAGGGTCTTTAGGCCCCCCCCCACCCTCAGTCTCCCACTCCCGCTGGGCTGAAGGGGTTAAACAAACACTCACCCTTCTCCAGCGTCGGGCTCCCTCGGTGCTTGGGAACTCTCCTCCCTCTGCAGACATCAACGCTGAATGCGCATGCGCGGCAAGAGCCACACGCGCATTCAAACAGTCCATAGGAAAGCATTTCTCAATTCTTTCCTATGGACGTCTGTAGCGGAGAGGTAGTATAATCCATAGTATCTCCGCTGGGTAACAGGAACAGCATAAAATCCTTCAAGCAAATTGAATGCAGTATGCAATAAACCTGGTAGCATTGTATAAATCCTTCCTTCTCAAGAACTAGACGACACATGGGCTGGGAGTCAACTGAGCTTTTAATCACAGGTCACATTATTTATGCAAGTCCCCATGCAAGGGGTTTCCCTACTGACATTACAGGGGTTGTACAGTAGGGGACTACATGGGGGACTTAACAACCCGGACATTTTTCCCATCATGCACTGTTGCACGAGAGGGATACTCCCACTAGAATATCCAGTTAAGTGGATTATCCATCCGTGCAGCAGAAATAACATTTCACACTAAAATCCATAACTTCCACATTATTCGTGTTCTTTTACCGAATGACCGTTCGGTAGATAGCTGGGGTCTGAGCACACCTTTCGTGGAAGTACGGCTCAGATCCCAGTCTAAATAACTGAACGCCGCACGAAAACACATTATTTTACATTCACCTCAAAGTACTCAATGCATATAGGGGAACAAACTACCGAATGACCGGCACTCCCGAACGGCCTGGAAGTCCAGCGGTATTCGTGCCGTCAAGTCGCCGATTTCAGTTCCAGGCGCTCGATAAAATACCACTGGGCTAACAAAGGATCCAAGATGGCCGACCGCCGCGTGGTCGGTAGCCGAACGGCGGCCACCCTGAATCTCAATAATTACCAAAGATATATTGTTGCAATACTTAACGAGAGCCACACGACCTCCTGTGTGTGGTCTCTCGTTCGGTAGTTTATTCGTTTCACGAACAGTGTTGAAATTCACTGTTCGTGAAACTACTGTATGAATGCTGGTGGCTTTCCTGCTGCCAGCATTCAAATGCTCTCGTTCGCATAGCATGGAAGAATAGGTACATGCTTGGTTCTCACATTTGTTAAAGTCACCGCAACACATTAATGCACATACAGTCTGAAGTGACTAGGTTTGCCACAATGCTCCCCCAGAACCAAGCCGGCATACACAGTTTGATCCCAACGGATCTGCTTGGGGATGTCTGGAGGAGGGCTCACAGATCACTTTTCAATGTCTGTTTGTCTGGATAGCCCGTCAGCGTTGCCATTTTGCTTCACAGGGCGGTAGTGAATAGTAAAGTCAAGTAAACTCCATCGCAGCAGCCGGGCATTGTCTCCTGACGCCCTGTTCAGCCACACCAATGGGTTGTGATCTGTGAGCAACGTAAAGGGTTGATCATACAAATACGGTTGTAGCTTTTTGAGGGCCCACACCACAGCCAGGCACACCTTTTTGATGGCGGCATAGCTTACTTCTCTGGGTAAAAGCTTTCTGCTCCCGGACATTTCTCCCATCATGCACTGCTGCACGAGAGGGATACTCCCACTAGAATATCCAGTTAAGTGGATTATCCCTCCTTGCAGCAGAACTAACATTTCACACTAAAATCCATAACTTCCACATTATTCATGTTATTTTACCGAATGACCGTTCGGTACATAGCTGGGGGTCTGAGCACACCTTTCGTGGAAGTACCGCTCAGATCCCAGTATAAATAACCAAACGCCGCACGAAAACAAATATTATTTTACATTCACCTCAAAGTACTCAATGCATATATGGGAACAAACTACCGAATGACCGGCACTCCCGAACGGCCTGGAAGTCCAGCGGTATTCGTGCCGTTGAGTCGCCGATTTCAGTTCCAGGCGCTCGACGACAAAATACCGCTGGGCTAACAAAGGATCCAAGATGGCTGACCACCGCGTGGTCGTTAGACGAACAGCGGCCACCCTGAATCTCAATAATTACCGAAGATACATTGTTGCAATACTTAACGAGAGCCACACGACCTCCTGTGTGTGGTCTCTCGTTCGATAGTTTATTCGTTTCACGAACAGTGTTGAATTTCACTGTTCGTGAAACTACTGTATGAATGCTGGTGGCTTTCCTGCCGCCAGCATACGAATGCTTTCGTTCGCAAAGCATGGAAGAATAGGTACATGCTTGGTTCTCACATTTCTTAAAGTCACCGCAGCACATTAATGCACATACAGTCTGAAGTGGCTTCTAACTGTGATTTTCACAGTGAGAAGCACGGAAGCGCCTCTAGCGGCTGTCAGTGAGACAGTCACTAGAGGCTGGATTAACCCTCAGTGAAACATAGCAGTTTCTCTGAAACTGCTATGTTTCAAGCTGCAGGGTTAACACTAGATGGACCTGGCACCCAGACCACTTCATTGAGCTGAAGTGGTCTGGGTGCCTACAGTGGTCCTTTAATGCAGGAGTTCTACTCATAAAAAAGTCAAAGGGAGTTGTTGACCAGTTATCTGCATTGAGGTCAGTTAGGACATATTAAAGTCAATAGAACCAGCTTGGCTTTTTAGTCTAAATTCTACAAATTTGGATATTAATTTAATTTGAATGATTTTACTGAGCAAACTACAAACTCTTCGTATTTCTGAAATACAAATACAGACACAAGTAAAATGAAAAATAATTTTTATTACATAAAGTGTTTTACCAGGAAAAAAACATTAATATCTCTCATTTTCAGGTATGCCCTGAGATATACTTGAGGGACACAGCTGTAAATGTATGTGTGGATACTTAAATGATTAGTAAGGTTGTTCTTCTTTTAAAAAACATGTCCTGTTTCCAAACATCTAGCCCAGGGCAAATATTTTTGAACCATGAAAGTGCGATTTTAAGTCCTTTTTGGTTTTGTCCAAGGACCATTCTCCCCATTTGTCCACTAACATATTCCATATTCATCCAATCCATTAATTCCCTATCGGCTTCCCTAGCCCTCCATATTCTGTTTCCTCGATTTCAGCTCCCCTTACTACCTCGGACTTCCTCAATCTCAGTTATTTTGCCTTTCATTTCCATGCCACCTTCACACTTAGCTTCCCACCTTTTCTGCTTCAATTTTTGTTATTTGTATCTCACTATTCCTTCTCTACAATCATCATTTCAGATCACTTGTCTTCATGTCAGTGCAATCAGTCTCTAACTGGACTTCCAAAATGACAGCAAAATTGGAGGGCACCTCCAAAACCTCCAAGTGCTACTGGTGGCATCTGCCATAGGGTTGACATTACTTATCTAAACAGATTCTATCCAAGATGGATACTGAAAAGATTATTACATCTTCCTCATTTTGAGTTAGAAAACATTGTCTTCTAGTGTATGAATCTTCTTATGTTTTAATAAATTTGAGCTCTGTGCAAAGAGTTTCCCACACACAGAACAGGCAAATGGTTTCTCTCCTGTGTGAATTCGCTGGTGCAGAACAAGAGTTGATTTCTGAGCAAAGCATTTCCCACAAACAGAACATAAAAATGGCTTATCTCCTGTGTGTGTTCTCTGATGTATAATGAGTGCAGATTTGCGGGTAAAAGTTTTTTCACAGATACAGCAAAAAAATGGTTTTTCCCCAGTGTGTGTTCTCATGTGTCTAATAAGGTCTGTTTTTAGATAGAAACATCTGTTGCACTCAGTGCATGAGAATGGCTTGCCACTGAGGTAAATGCTTTCCATGGCATGTGTCCTCAAGTGAGCAGCATAAACAGACATATTGTTAAAATTTATGCTGCAATCACTGCATTTGGTTACATTCAGAATCTTATTTCCTTCACTTGTTATAACCCCTTTGCTGTATTCTCGACTATGAAACCAACAATCTGTCTGTGCTTGCTCTGCCGGTGTATAAATGTCAGTGTCTGACAGATTTCCTTCTTCACATGAGGCTAATTCCTCCTTAATTTGAGTAGATGGATATTGTGACTGTGTTTGTTCTGTGGTTGTATAAATGTCAATGTCTGTGTGATTTCTCTCCTGGCATGACTGATCCTTATTATGTGAAAATGGGAGTTCAGTCTGTGTATGTTCTGTGGGTGTATAAATGGCAGTGGCTGTGTGATTTCCTTCTTCACTTGAGACTGGATCCTTTTTAATTTGTGTAGATTCTGTATAATCTGTATGCGTGTGTTCTGTAGCTGGACACTGGTCGGTGAGATTTCCTTCCTTACATGATACAGATTCCTCCTTAATTAGAGTAGCTGGACATTCTTTTTGTACATGTTCTGTATTTGCACAGATGTTGATGTCCGCAGATTTTCCTTTTTTAGATGAGGCCAATTCCTCAGTCTTTTTCACAATACATTTTATTTTCTGCTTTGTAGCTCTGCAAGCGTTAGTATGATGAGCAGACAGATTTATATTGTAACTGTCCTTTTTGTTTAAACAGTCCAGTGAAGGAATGGTGGTGTGAAAACTTTCAAGTAGATCACTTCCCACAGATTCATCTATTGGAAAGAAACAAAATTATTTTGTGTAATTAAGAAGCCAATAAACAATCATCTAAAATGATCCCAAACATTTTGTACTCTGTTTTGTAAAGTTCTTCACAACCCACTCTAGTGGGCGGGCAAACCCCCCCAAAAACAAGTAGAAAAGCAGAGTGAAGCCCACAATATTAAAATTCCCTTACACTCACACAACAAAATTAATTAAAATTAACTGAATTATTTCCCTGGTAAGTCAATAACTCACTAAGTGCAAAACACATCTGCTATTCTCTTACTGTATTTTTCTCAGTCTCCATGGATTCTATAAATAATTGCCCCTCCTCGATAACATCATTTCTGTTAGTTGACATATACAATATAATGACCCTTACCCGGTGAGCTACAAGGCTGGTACGTCTCTGTCATCACATCCTTGTGAAGATTCCTGTGCCATTCTAAATACTGCCACACCTGCAAGACATACCATAAAATGCTTCCAAACTATAGGGATGTGACACACACAACATACATAAAAAGAAAATTAAAGATAATGGGGTCATTCTCCCTTTTCCAGTAGGCTCACCTCTCCAGTCAGAAGGTGAGTGATCTTGTTGGTTAGTTCTAGGAGATTCTGCTCATTGTTTCTCTCATGTAGTGGAGGCACAGTGTTGGGGCTCTGGGTGCTGCAAAGACTGTTTATGTGTGATAACTGATCACCGGGCATCTTCTCAAAAATATAATCCTATATATTAAAAACATATGTGATAGAGAAGAGCGATAACATATCAGCTCATTTATATAACTTCCTGGCATCATCTACATTCTACATAAATTTAACTCCAATTTGGATACAACCATGATACAAGCTATAAAATTTGCCTTATTGCCTTCATGGATTCTACACCGCTACACAACTTTTCGAGAAAATATACAAAACCTGGCTCTTAATTTTTGCTAACATACATACATAAAACATACAACAGCCATCATAAGATGCCATATAAAAACCCAAGACTAGGACATTTTCAAGTGTTTGTTTTTCTAAAGAACAGGCAACAGAAATGCTCTAAGTGATACGAGAGGCGATAATCCTAGAAACGCTCACCTCTCCAGTCAACAGGTAGATGATCTTCAAGGTGATATCCATGATCTCTGTCACCTGGTTTGTGTCCTTGTTCATCTTTACCTAGCTTCAAGATATCCTGGCAGAGGAATTTGTTTATTTTGGACCAGAGTGATGCAGTAATCACCACTATAATAAATTACATCAATATCAACCTGCATGCAGGAAGAGAGAGATTGCTCAAGTAAAGAAGCTGACTGTATACGATCCCAGATATAATGCATAGATCTTGCATAATCCAGATCTAATACCACACAGTCCTAGCTTCCACCTATAATATGTATAAACTGTAAAATCCCAACCTCATGCTATATGCAGCTCCAGGCCTCACATATAATGACTAGGTAATATAGTCTGGAAAAACCACTATATACGATGCCATGTCTCCTCCTATAACAGATACATAAACATTATGAATCTTAGTACAGTAACTCACGAATAATGTATATAATGTAGGTCAGTATAATGTATATAATGTAGTCAGTATAATGTATATAATCTAGGTCAGTATTATATATATATATATATATATAAAATGTGGGTCAGTATAATGTATATAATGTAGGTCAGTATAATTATATATATATATATATATATATATATATATATATATATATATATATATATATATATATATATATATATATATATATATATATATATATATAATCTAGGTCAGTATAATGTAGGTCAGCATAATGTATATAATCTATGTCAGTATAATATATATATATATATATATATATATATAATGTAGGTCAGTATAATGTATATAATGTAGGTCAGTATAATATATATATATTGTAGGTCAGTATAATGTATATAATGTAGGTCAGTATAATATATATATATATATATATATATATTGTAGGTCAATAAAATGTATATAATGTAGGTCAGTATAATGTATATAATGTAGGTCAGTATGATGTATATAATGTAGGTCAGTATAATGTATATAATGTAGGTCAGTATAATGTATATAATGTAGGTCAGTATGATGTATATAGTATAATGTATGTCAGTATAATGTTTATAATATCATGTAGGTCAGTATAATTTATATAATATAGGAAAGTATAATGTACATAATCTAGGTCAGTATAATGTATACAATCTAGGTCAGTATAATGTATATAAATCGAGGTTAGTATTTGTATGCCTATGCGTGGTGGATTCGTCTATTTTGCCCTCCTTTCGTGGAAATGGCTGTTTCTATAGCCCATGCATACGAATGACTTGTTTTTACCGAACAAACCTACCGAATGAATGGCCACCCAGGATAGAAGTGTGCTTCTGGTTAACCTCTTGATCCCAATTAGAACGTTGTGGTTAACCGCAGACACTTCTCAATTAAAACCGAATACAGGGTGGCCGTCGTTCGCATGTGGCAGTGCCCATTTTAGATCGCACGAAAGACCAGCGGTGTTAGACATTGATTTCATGGAACTAAAAACGGACACTTTTTCTGCCGAACACCGCTGAAACAACGAGTCGCCCTGCTCCATCGACGAACGTATACGAACACCGGCCGTTCGGGAGTTTTGAATCACACGAAAAGACTTAACCCAGATAGCCTTACCCTGCAGTCAATCACATACCGAAAGACTGTAAGAACTTTGACTCCATGGCGATTGAACTATGTGTATGGGATCTGCGCGCTATTCGCTAATAATATGCCCGCAGATCCAGGCTATCTGGGGATATGTGATACGAATGTAAAATGTTCGGTAGTTGTGGAATTATATATTTTTGTGTGTTTTCTGGCATTCTATTTAAGATGGCGATTTGTCTTTGTCCTGGAGATAATTGAATTACTTCTCAATTATCTCCAGGGCAGAGGGGAGGAAACCATATTGCATTGTGGGAAAAGGTTGTATTTGTATGTCTGAAATGTCCCCATGTCCATCTGTCATTACAGTCTCCCATTTGGTCCCCTAGGGGAGTGTCCACCAAGTGGGAGACCTGCATAAATACGGGCGGGTAGCCCACAGTAAAGCCAGATCCTGTTTGACCCTCAATGCGGAGCGTAGTCTCGTTATTGGGGGGATTTATTACCGACGACTAGAGACTGATTGATGGAGCCGAAAGCCGCTTGGTGGATATATTTGTTCGGCGGCTAATGGTGTTTCGTGGATTTCTGTTCGGGAGTTTGGATACTTGTACAGGAGATTGTTGCTTCCCCTGATGGTGGTTTGTATACCGCAGTCTATGTGAACTGAGAGATTGATAGTGTGGAGGGGGAAGGTGAACTAAACGTCAGTTTTCCTTAAAAGACACCAGGGGTGTCTTAACAATTGGTGGCAAGCGACGGGATGAATCCCACAGCACAGAAGGTCAGGTACACATCCCAGTTTGGTGGAGGAAATGCAGTATGATGAATTAAGGCGTGCTACCCTTAAAGACATACTTGAACGCCGAGGACGGTTAGCAAGTAATCTGAAGAAATGTGAGATTATTGCTTTATTATTGGAAATGGATGCAGCACAGGGAATGGAGAGAGCTAATGTGCCCAGCATTTTGGATTTATTTATTTTTTTAAAATTCTTTATTTTTCCTGTGGAAAGATAATAGATCCATGAAGTTGGCCACAACAGCCTCGACACAACGATTAGAATCAGTACATATTAAATACAAGGCATTGTTGTGTGCTAGTCACACACATTTTATATTTAAAATAGGTCACATTGTTATAATGAGGTTTTAAAATCTAATAACTGTGGGGGTGGAAGACTTCTGTCTGCCTAAGACACCCTAAGGTCTGCGGAGTCGTGGGTGGAGGGGGAAAGGCATTTACAGCTAGGTCCAGTGGCTGGTCCCAATTCCAGGTCGTGCGACTATAGGTTATGGGTGTTGGGTGTGTCTCTTGACCCTTTCGAGTTTGGATAAGGAAGCGGATTGCGGTAGTTACGGGGTCCCTCTAATGGTGCCCTTTCTAGGACTATGTCCGCTCCTCTTTTGTTTTTCCCTGGTTGTAGCTATTGGTGGGTGCCCATGTGTGTGGTGCTCAAGGTGTCTTTGTGGCCCTAGTGGTAACTATAAATTGTGTCTATGTATATATATAGGTCGCTGTAGTGTGACCGGATCAAGTTGTGCCCTTGGGCATCAGACCTCGCGGTGAGCTTGATTCCAGTCAGGGTTACTATGTCGCCTTTGATGTCGTTTCCCATTAACCCAAGGGAGGGGGGGGGGGATTGTTATCGGAGCTAGTGTGCGTGGCTCTGGTGGGCCTCTTTAGCACTGTTATAGCCGTCAGAGTGTGGGAGAACTACATTTAACTTAAATGAACAGATTTATCAACTTAAAATATTTAAACTAGTGGAACTAAGGCCTATGCGGCCGTCGGTGAGGCAGTTCGTTCAGGTTTTGGTTTTCGGGCCTCTGCTTATTCCAGGGGTTGCGGATGGATCTGTGCTCGTTGTCCCTGGTCGATGAGCTGGCTGTGTCATAGAGGTCGCTGCGAGGTTCGATATTCCCAATGCGGTCATCAGTGCCGGGCCCTCTGCGTGGTCGGTAGCTCTGTAGTGCTTGTCATCTTTAGTGATCCAGAGAGTTCCTGGTGTTGCCCATCTATAGGCTACTCCTGCGGCTTGGAGTTGTTTGGTGATTGGTTGCATACTTTTGCGCCACATCAGTGTGGCCCTGCTCAAGTCCTGAAAG